TCCATCCATCCATCCATCCATCCAACCATCCATCCATCCATCCATCCAGCCATCCATCCATCCATTTTCCTTCACGCTTGTCCCAAGCGGGTTCGCCATGATCATTTCATGATCATCTTATTCACCTGCTTCCTCTGCTATATATACGGTTCAGCCCAGCTATCAGGGCCAAATCATTATATTATATCACTATTCTTCCTTTATTCGTGTTATGTTTTCGTGCCAGTTATTTATGTCTCAAGTTTTATTTTATGACACGCAGGGCCTTTTTACCACTTCCTTTAAGAAAATTATCCAGCATCTTTAAATAGAGCATAGATAGATTAAGAACATCTTTGGGAAAAGCTTTGGGGAATTTCCTCATGAAATAAGAATGAGTAAAGTATTTTTTAAAAGAAAGAGAATCTAAAGCAGTATTAAGTTTGCAATTATGTTTTTGTAGTTGCATTTTCTTTCTGCCTTTCTTTTTAAAGGCATTTTATATTTTACCTTCTATAAAGACTTAAGGTGGCTAAATCTGATTCAGTGCAAATGTTTTCTACCGAGATTAATGTTTTTGTACATTCCCCTAAATGAATAACCTCAAACTCAAAATCGTCAAATTATAATCAGCACTTTACATTTGTCTTATGCTATGCACAATTCAAAGCTTCCTTGCCTCATGACTTACTCTCTAGAGCTTTAGTTGCACTACACGCCTCCTCTTTTCCCCCTAGCACTATGTGCTCTGCTCCACTAATGCTGGAGGCATTATATGAGGAAATAGATGCAACCTCAGGAAAAGAGTGTAATAATGGTATTACTCTAGTTAGAAGCACTGAGGTGTGTCTTTACTAGTGCTATAGGCTTAGAAAAAGTGTAGGCCACTATTTAAGAGTATTTATATTTTAAACAATCATTTTTTTCACACTTAAAAAAAGACAAAAAAAGACAAAAACAGCCTAGTAAAAAGCTAATCTTAACAGCTATGGTTTCTAAGATGGGTATTGCACTCCTTGCATGGAATGATAGTTATAGGGATTTTGCTGCTGTTCCATTTTTTCTTCCCATCTTCAATTGATTGATATTGATATTGCTTTATAACCTAACCCTACTTTCAAATTCTGCACATATATATCATCTAAGCTATCTAGTCTGTTCTTTGATCTTCATGATGCTTTTTGATCACTAATGTTCTTCAAAAAAAAAAACTCAGGTCTTCACAGAATAACTTAGTAGAAGGTGGCTGTTATTTGCTAATTAGATGAGTTCTGAATGCAATTATTTGAAATTAATAGTTTTCAGGGTTTTCAGAGTAAAGGTTGCTGAATAAACATGTGGGAACAATGAGATTTTATTTGTAAAGGAAAAAATGTAAAACCATCTATAAGTTTCCTTCCACTTTATTATCGTATAGTACTTTGTACTGTTCTTACGTATTTAATCAATCTAAGTACAGCAGAGTGCGGTTTTAAAGTGACAAGATGTGAAAAAATTATATGAATACGTTTATTAGGCACTCTGGAAAATTATTCACGCTCTTATCTTGAATAATTAATACCTGCAGTACTGAAACTCGTAATGAAAATACTATGCCGTGGAAAATATTTATTAAAACAGAGGTCTGCTGATGAGAGTCACAGTACAATTGAGATCATTCCTATCAGAAGCTAAAGTAAGACTATCATTCTCAGACTTCTTTAGCTCTTATAGCCTAGAGTTATTGCAAATTTCCATAACTAGAGAGTGCATATTTTTCTTAACTATCAAATCTATGTAAAAGTTGTATACTGACATTATCCAATTCAAATCAGAATCTTAATAGAAAAAAAACTGGAAGGGTAATACTGAAAGGCTCAGGACAATAAAAAACTTAAAAACTGAAATATGTTTTTTATTATCTTGTTTTATTTAAAAAAAAAATAAACAAACAAACAAAAAACTCTAAATTATGTAAATCAATTTATGGTTGCAGTGCTTTGGCATAATTCCAAATGTTTGTTAGGGTGACTGCATGACATTAATATAAAAACTAGGGCTGCCATCTTTGCAGTGAAGAATGCTCCCACAGAAAAGGGAGCTGTGATTGTGGGTAAAGGCAGAGGTAAAAAATATTACATTTTCCACTTAGAAACAACAACATTTTTAGGGATATTTTAGATAAGCAAATATTCAAAAAATGATACAACAACAATTATGTGAAGAAAAAATAAAAACAAACAAATAATATATCACATCTGAGACAGTTGTTGGCACCAATTATTATAATAATTTTTTCTTTTTCGGTCAAATACGAGAAATGTAATTCCAAGAAGAAGCCATTTCCGAGTGCTATAAGAGAGCTACTTTAATCTTGTTATTTTGTTAACTCTGTCTCATATGACTTCAACATTTTATTCCTATGTGTGCAGAAACCTTCCATGTGAATGTTGGTTTTGTAACCAGAATTGCTATATTTTGGATCTGTCAAAATTTGCAAAACAATGCTTTATTTACTATTTACTTTTTTTTTTTCTAAATTAATACTCTCAGTTTGCACCAATTTGGGGCCTGATTCTTCGGTTCCTCAAAGAATAAAAAAATAGGTGCTAAATTGCACAAGTAATTCCTTTTTTAGTATGTGCAATAGGTGGGTGTGTTGCAAGTAATATACAGAGATTAAAAATCACAAATGGAAAAAAAAATACAAAT